ATTTTGTGTGTTATTGAGAGGTTGAGAAATGGGCTAAAAGCTACAGCTTCTTCCTGTGATATGTTCCACACCATAAAGAAGCAGCTTTTAAGCTCTTGAAGCATGGGTGTACTTTTAAACGTGGTTTGCAAGCTATACACTAAAAAAAGTCTAGCTGGCAGGTCAGAGAATCAGATGTTCCAACAGCTGTGCAAAAAATATATATGTTTGTCAAGATGCTCTTTGACCAAGTGACGTAACCATATGACATGTGCATAGAAAGTTTTTACCCAAAGCTTTATTTGGATTTTTACATGGGTGCAAGACTTGTAGAATGAAACATGCTTCTTTCTTTTTAACCCTGTTTTTCATTTCAGCTTCCAGATATGCAGTACCTGATTGAGAAGATATGGAACTGCCAGTCAGCTCTCAGTGCCTGCAGTAATCTGTATGATTTAGTTATGGTCAGGTGGGATAAGCAGCGTGAGTGGTCTCCATGGAACACTATTCTCCTCACTGAAGAAGAGGCAGATGCACATCTTAAGCTGTGTGACCCTCTGAAGGTAAATTTCAATGGGTTTTATTTTTTATATTTTATTATGTTATGTTTTAATATAATCCTGTGACTAATTATGTTGGGCCAAATTTAATCATTACACTTGTCCATGTTTAGATTGGCTCATTGTGGCTATTTAAATGATTGCATCTGTACTACTAAACAAAATGGACACTAATCCAAAAGGCATCTGGCATGTGCAGTTCATTCCATGTACCTGAACTCTGTCTTGACCCAATTGTCTCTCCTGAAATGCAGGAAGCTGAGTGGCCTCATCCATGCTGCCTGCTGAGGACAGTGCCATGTGTGCACTCTTCCCTCAGATCACACCAGACAGGAGCTAGCCTGGATGAAAAGCATACTAAAGACTAACCAGAAATACTGTTACAGTTGTGTGCCTGTGCTCTTGCACATGCTCTGCCCTCATTAGTTTCTGGTCTTCTAAATTTCTCATCAAAAAGAAGAATTGTTCCTTATCTATAACTTATCCATTCATCATCATCATCATATTTGTCATTACTTTCTTACCTAGATATCAGCTAAGTATCCCTTACAATGTAACCTTATAAATTGCATTTAAGAAATAGCAACATAATTTCTTTTCCGAATTAAAACCTCTTAGGACTGTGTTCAACTTATCATCAAAACTGTCTTTTTACACCAATTCCCCCAAATTCCATATCTATACATGGTAGTCTATGAAATATCTCTCCATTGAATATCATATATTGAGAGTACTTAGTTTTGTAAGGCACAGGAGAATCCTGTGACCTGTGTTTCTCCTGCACTTAATAATGGCTTATTAAGACTTTCAGCTCCAGGTTATTGATTTATGTAAGCAGTGATCTGCAGTCATTGTTGCCTAGTGTTCTTTTGTTCAGGGTGTTCTTAATTCAACTTTTAACACAATATATGTGCATCAGAAGTGCAACTTTGGCTGTTATGTATTGTTCTTCTTTTTGGATGTCTTAAGAGCAAACTAAACAGACAGAGCAAATTAATTGCTCTCTTTAAAGTTTTGTTTTATGGATGAAATATATCAGGGAATTCTAAAGGCAAAAGGGATTCTGCCAACCATTATATTTTGTGTGTGAGTGCCCAGCTTGTGTCTTCAAGCAGACACATTTATGTGAGCTGTAGCTTTAGAAGGTAAAATCAGTTTCAAGCTGGAAATCCTTTTCTTGACTCCTCTCACTCACTGTAAGTCAAGAAGGCTATTCAGACAATCTGAATCTAGTGAGGCTCCTCAGCATCCATAAATTTCTGTTACCAGCATTACTGCAGGCAAAGCAGTTCTTTGACTGATCAGTTTTCTCTGATTGAGCACTTCTCTACTTTGGTGCCATGAGTCTGGATGTCATAGTCCAAGAAATGCTATTAACTTGATTAGGTCCAGGGCTTCAGCGGATGGGGGAGTTAGGTCAGAACAGGTAAGTTACACAATCCAACATAAAAACCATGAGGTATTTTCTTTAGCTCTTGCAACAAATACAGAAGTGAATCAATTGTAGTGAGGACTCAATTTTCTTCTTCAAAAGAAAAAAAATGAAAAGAGTGTAAAATAAGGAAAATGAGGCAAAACCAGAATGTTGTAAGTTGAATCATTGTTTTTCATTCACTGAAACAAAAAAGGCCTCTTAAACCATTTATTTAATAGCAATTATTCATAGTGATTTTATTTAATAGCAGTTATTTAAAGTGATGACTACAGCAATAGCAAAAGGTTTTTTCAGTTAAATATTCTGATTATTTATTCCATCATCCAAACTACTACTACTAACTAGGAATTTGGGAAAATGTCACCACTGCATGCAAGTGCAGACTGAAATGCTGCAAAATACTTGCTGCCATGATTAGTTGAAAATAGTGACTCTGATTCTCATCAAGAAATGCCCTTACAGTTTACACCTTGCAAATGTTTCTATCTAAGCATTGCCTTATTTATTTCTTTATTTCAGGTGAGAACATTTGTACTTACATTTGAAAATGAAATAAGTTTTATCTTGAATGGATAAAAACGTTACTCTGGTTTTAAAAACATGGCTAATATTTCACAAGGAGAAATTTTCACTTAAGATAGTACTATAGAACTAAAAGATATTTCATTATATATATATACAAATAAATGATCTGCCTTAGTTTATTAAAGGGTCACTATTTATAATGTCTAAAGTATGTGCAAATGTTTATAATGTCTAAAATATGAAGCAACACATATCTTTAGATATTTTAATTGTATTTATGGGTTTTGATTTTGCTTTTCTTTTCAGACTTATGAAGGTCCATTTATTTACAGAGTAGAACAAAAGCATATCCGGGCAAAAAACTACTTTGCTCAGATTCCTGCGATGTCACCATTTTTGCATAGAAGTAACAATCAGGCTAATGCAAATTCCTACATGAAACATTGTTCTTCAAAGTTAAAGAAGTGAACTAAATTCCTAGGTTTTTAAAAAAAATACACTTTTTTATCAGTACCCTAATTGTACTACACAGATCAAAATAAACTTCTAAGGATAAAGTAATTTGATCTCAATCACTTAATTTTACTGCATTTCGAGTTTTGTAACCTCATTTAAAAAAAATAAAATATTGTTAAAGAGGTTTGTCAATTCTCAGTTTTTAGAATAATGATTATTTTTCTGTGTATTGCTGCATTGTTTGGAACATTCTGTCTGTAGTAAATATTCATTTTGGGCAAATTTTGTTAATCCTTTGTCACCCTTTATTTAGAAAATTAATACTATAGCATTGTATTAAATTTATTTTTCTTGTCTTAAGCACATAATCCCCTCAAACCTTGGATTCTTTCAGAACACAATAGATACAGCTGTCCAGATAACTGCTTTGCCCTGCAAACTTTTGTGCAAAAGAACAACTTTTCATTTTGTAGCTCATTTAGATGGTCATAATGGAACTGCCAGCATAAAATTATTGTATCCAAGGTGTTAAAATTATTATAATTTGAGTATTATAATTTAAATATTTATTTTGAAATGCACATTTCAGGATGTTCGAAATATATTTCTTTTTGAGGAGTTTGTATTTGTGGAAGTAAATTATCCCCATAACTAAAAAGTTTATGTTTGATCATAGTTACAGAGGAAAACATGATATGGTGTAAATTCAAAAATCCAACAGGAAGTTGCAAGGTTCTTCTTGAAACCTCTATTGTAGATGTGGTTTTGACCCAGTCTTTTGCTCTAACAGATGAAACTACCTAGGAAAAAGCAGTAGCATTTACAAAGAGAAGTAAGCACATATTTGGCAGCAAACAGCTGAAAACTGAATTGACTCCTGCCCTTCTATGGACATGCTCCAGCACCTCAATCTCCCTCTTCAGTGAGGGGCCCAAAACTGTATTCAAAGTGCAGCTTAATAGTGAACAGCATTTGAGGTGTGACCTCACCAGTGCTGAGTACAGGGGAACAATCCCTGCTCTGCTCCTGCTGGCCTCACTATTTCTCATCCATTAATTCTAAAAGAAAACATGTAAAAATCCAGAGAAATGGTTAGGAGTAGAATGTAAGTATAAAGTATTTAATATTATAGCTTTTCTTAATAAAATTATTGTAGTTAAGTGGGGATGCATGGTAATGGAAATATTTCCTTCTTCATTGCCATTTTATAATGATTTCACAGTAGTTTGATTTTTGGTATTTTGACTCTGTGTCGCATTTAAAAATATCTCCATAATAAAGCAGTTCTAAACCTGGAGTCAATATCATGGATGAATGTTCAAGGAAAAAGCCCTCTGGAAATGCAACAGTAAACTGTGTGTGCTTTTGTGTATACCAACCCACATTAATAAAAAGTGGGTTTAGGTTCCTGCTCACAGATAAAAAAACCCACTTTGATCTTTTCTAATCTTAATTAAATGAAAGAAAATAATATTTTTTGTTAAAATCTCTTTGCAATAGGTATATTTTTTTTCTTATTGTTTGGCAAAAACCCACTATTTTTGGGAGTTAAGAAAAAAAGGAGAAAATATATGCAGACATATTTGTGAGCTAAATTTACTTAGGGAAGCAAATTAAAATCCCACTCAATAGGTTCTTCTCATTCCTTTTTTTTCAAAGCTTTCTTCACTTCAGTTGTTCTCAAACTGTGGTTTGTGGAGAAATATTAAAAAAGAAAAGTCAGTTTGTTTTCAGTTAAAAGTTTGTTCGTAAGTGATATGGTAATCTGAGAGAAAACAATCTGGTTATGTTTGAGGAAGTTTTAAGGCAGTTTCTGTAAGGCAGAGTACACAGTGCCCCCACCAACTGTGCACACACTTGTGTGTGTTGGAAGCACAGAGCAGGGAGGGGAAGGCAGAGCTCAGCGTGCGGGGCCCACGGCTGTCGGAGCACCTGTGGAACCCTGGCGGAGTCCTGTGCTTTGTGTTGCCAAGGGCATGGGGAGAAAAAGGAAGTGAGGCTAGAAACCACGTGCCTGTGTTCTACATGTTGCCCAGAAACATTCTGTACAAACCAAGTACACCTCCTACCAGGAAATATTCCATACAACGCAGCTACACGGAGTGGGAGGTTTGACCACACACCCATCCACAGCCATACACGCTATAGTGGTTAATAAGGTATAAAATGTACCTCAATTTTGTACCTCAATGGGGGATGAGAATTTGACACAAAATTTTAAGGGACAGATTGACTGGTTTGTCTTTCTTGTCCTTCACAAAAAGAATGCCTTTTGGTAAGTCTTGGATAATCAGTTATGCTGAGTATTGACCCAGGAAATGCAACTTGAGATTGCAGTTGTATTGTTAATGTTATATATTCTGCAGTAACTGCATTTTCCACTGGCAATCCAAAAGAAACATATAGGCTGCACTCAATAAACCAATGATTTGTGGACCAAACTGGCTCTTCTGAATGTGACCAGACCTGCTGACTATTTGTGCATCTGACATAGGGCCTAGGGTTACATCTTTGCAACAGTGTGTAAGTTGGTTAATGTGTCAAATATTGACCTTTTGCAAAACTGAGTATTGTTGGAAATTCTGCAGTTCCTTTATTCTGTCTCGGTGCTTCTGTTTCTACCTCTGTTTTTGAAGTCTGTACTCAAACCCTTAAAATTATTTTTTTTTCTGAGAAACAAGATTTCAGATTGAGTTGATGAACAAATTGCCTTATTAGGCACCCATACTAAAACAATATACTGTGATTCAAGGCAAATGGATTTCACTAATTTGGCTACATGTGCATGATTTAGACATGTCTTCTGACCTCTATTTGTGTCTTTTTGTACAATTTTCATTGTGCTTCCTTATTTTCCCTTATCACAACTCGTTGTAACATAGCTCAGAACTTCTTTTGTGTATGATCTCTAACATCCTGTTCTGATGGTGAGGAGACATTTGTGCCCAGAGCCAAACACGTGCTGAGGCTGCTGCTGCCTAATGTAGTCACAAGGTGTAGGAGCCACTCAGTGTTTGGCAGGCACAGAAATAGTCTGCCAGAGCAATTTGCTTCCGGGCATGAAGGAATTCTCTAAGACTATTTTCATCTTGCATGAGACTTGTGAAATACTGAAGTCGTGTCATGTTCTGAAGTGATTATAATTTGCCCCTGACTTTAGATATTTTTGATTTCTGGGATAGCATTCCTCCATGCAAAAGATAGCTTAAGGATTTTGTGTTTCAGTGGCTCTGAACGTGCCATTTTCTCTCTCTTCCTTCTTGCTGGAATCTGCAGTTTGTTGCAGATTTCAAACCTGTCAACACCCAAATGTGTGACGCCAGATCTCAAGACATGTGAAAAAAACTAAGCTGAGGGACATGATAATATGTAGCAGGGGAAGAAGATACAAGTTCTGCAGAATGTATTTTGTGCTGTACAGAAAACTTTTCTGTAAACTCCATTTTGTAGTTGTATAACTGTGTAGGACAGGAGTTTGGACTTCATGACTCTCCCTTGCACTTGAAGGTTAGAGGAAACCGGCAGTGCTTTCACTGCAGGCAGTTTTACAAGCTGCTTAAATCACAAACCTGGAAGTAATAAAAATAGGAGTAACTCCCAAGTTCAAGTGAAGGAAGTTCACGTTCTGACAATTCCCCCGGCTGTTGGAGAGCAGCGTCAGCCTGGCTGAATGCGGCTCACAGCAGCCCAAGCGGGAAGTGCAGCTGTGCACACCCTCGGGCTTTCCCTCTGCAGCTGCCCGGTCCTGAACGCACCCGCCTGGAGCCATGGCACGGCTCTGCCCTGCTGCTCCTGCCCTGCTGCTCTGCTCCCTTGCTGTGCTGCTCCAAACCTCTCTGCCGCTGGATCATGTGCCCATGCTGCTTTGGTCAACTCAGAGGTAAGAAACGGAATAAAAGTGTATCCCTGCTTATGCTCCTGCTCTCTGTGTGTGTGTGTGCACAGAATATATATTGTGCCATCGAATATGGTAAATCAGCTCTGGGCAGTAAATTAATCCAGTAAATAAATTTGCACCTCGGCCATCAAACAAGCCAATGGGTGTTTTTACCAATTTTTATTTATAATTTTAGTGTTCTAAGCTGAGCAGAAAAAAGTAAACAAATTCTGTAAATGAAAAATATGAAGTAGATATGCTTTATTCACTCTAAAGCACCTTTCAACCTCCACTGTTAGAGATGATGTGACTTAAAGTCACAACGTAAGGCAGTGACACAAAAAGGAGCTGACCAAAAACTCTGTGGCAGTTTTTTAAGCCTTGTATTTCCTGACTTCTGAACCCCTGACTTTTCACTTTAATGTTCTTTTTAATATAGGTTCTTAAGTACATTGCTATATGTATGTGCATCAGTTGTTAGAAGCAACTGTAGTCTTGACAGATCCAGAGACACAAGAAATTTGAGGCTTTGCATATGCTTATGAAATAGGACTTTGAAGCTGTTCTGGAAGAACCAGATATAGACCTCTTTCTTTCCAACCGGGAATTTTATTCATGCTCACTTTAAGGATTTTGTACCATTACTTGGGATTTCCAGAAATATGGCAGGCCAGGCAATGCAGTAGCTTCAGGTGGATACTGGATATGTAAAGTTGTCAGAAAAATATGGCTCACTTATTTGACACCTTTGCCGTATGTTTATTCTTCTTTTATTGATTTCCAAAACCTGAAACTCTGCATATAGAAATCTGCAAGTTTTGAAAAAGTAAGATTTTACAGCTTTTGCTTTGCTTTTTCCCCCTAGAAGAAGAAGAAAAAAAGAATGTTTCAGCCTCAAGGCAATTTTATATTCAAAATTCTTAATGAGTCACCCCTACATGACAGGCAGTCATATGAGTATTAACCCCTGTATTTGAAAGCAAAGTAAATGTTGGAAAGCAGTGTTAGGTTAAAAGTGATTCTAAGTATCTTAGAAAAGATCAGTGCTTCCTTTGTCCTACTTCCTGGTTTATACAAAAAACATACCTGCTGTATAAATAAACAAAATCTTATCATTTAATCCCATGTGGTAATAAAAGCAAATTTTCCATCAAGATGCAATTAGAAGCTTGTTCTACTGCAGATTTTTCTGATTTATACAAATCTAGAGCAAGAAAATCAAGATACTGGACTAGGTAAACAGGTTCAAGTCTCCAGGAACTCAAGAACCTTTTGTTGAAGAAGTGTTCCTCCGACCATGATATTTGCATTTTGAAAGGAGAAGTTCTTGTGGGGCCAAAGTTAATTCTGGTGAAGGTCTATGAAGCAACTGAAAAGAAGTTTTTTTGTTACTTTATAAAATAAAGTAACATTCACAACAACTTCCTGTTGTTAACCCATAATTCTGTGCTTTACATCTTGGTACATCACAGTGATGTGAGGTTTGCGCTGTGTGATCCACAGGCCTATGAAATTTGGAAATTACTATTAACAGTTTTAGGAAATTTAACTACAGAATTGCAGTAATAATGGATATCTATGGATATATATCCACTTTGTAGGAACATGTCCTACCAGTAAAAAAATTTAGCAATTCATTAATTAACGGAAGTTGCAATTCGCTAATCTATTCCATCATCCTTTTCCGGGTTACCTGTTAGGATTTGATATTGAATAATTGAAGGATACTCCATTTTGTTCTAGTTTAGGACTAGCCAGTGTTTGCCAAGCCATATCTCAGCTGTATTAGAGAATATAAAACTTTAAAACTTCTTTTATGCATTATTACTGTACTGTAATCATGCCATTAAAGATCATGTTGGATGCCAGATAGAGGTGAAACCTGCAGCTGACAAACACATGCAGTGCACAAAGCAAAGGGAAGTGTGATACCAGTTCTCAGAGAGACACTAGTAAATCAAATACTCTTTCCTCTAGAAAGAAAAATGCAGATCCTTATTTGGAGAAGAGTAAGTATTTTTTTCAAAAAATAACATTCTTTCTCAGTTCAACTAGGGAATAACTCTGTATGTCACACTGTCCTGTTTTTCACAAAAGAATATATCACTGGATATTCTTCAAATAACTCACATGGAAAATTTGACCTTTATTTTAAATCAGCCTTTAAACTAATATTCCCTGGTTGGGTTTTTGAAGCAGGGAAGGTTGAGAGGCTCTTCTTGCATATGATACACAGAACAAATTCAATTTAGCCATTTTGAACCAATATTCAAAAGAATTTCCCTCCACAGATAAAGAGAGGGAGTTTGAGCAAATAAATTCATTAAAATTAGCTTTTGTGATTGCCCCCTCATGTGTTTGTTTTAGGAATGGCTTTTGCCTACAGTCTTTTAAAATATATTACTTCTTTTTTTATGCTATGCTTATATAGGGAAAAAAATTCTTTCCTGGCAAACCCAGGTTATAGGTGACTTTGAGAAGGTGTTAATGCCAATTAGTACATTTACACTGTTTCCCAAGCTGCAGGGATTTTACTGATAAAACTGATGAAAGAAGGTGTAAGATAAAAAGGAAAAAAAATTGAACTATAATTTTATTGGATGCCTATGGAGACTCTGTGTGCCAGCATAAATGCTATTTTACTTCCACTGAGCAGGGGAAAACATGATTTCTTAGACGGTAATAACAAGGAGACTGATAGACACAACTGACAAGAATAGCTTGTAGGAAAGAGTTCTGAAGCCAGCTACAAAGCAGAAATGTAAGATCATGAGTTAGACTGCTACAAGTCTTGTTACCTTCCCTTCAGCCCTTCTAGTGGGTCCAAATACAGGAAATCTTGAATCTTTGCTTCCATCAACGTAATTGCTCAAATTTCAGAAAGAATACTCTTGAGGAAAGAACATTTTGTCATGTCAGAGCAGTGAGGTAGAAGAAAGAAGCAAAATATCAAGCTTAGCTTACTTTCCTCAATTTCTTTAGGGTCTTGTTTGACCATTGGAGTAAGGAGAGAACAGCTGAGTTTTAAGTTTCCTCAAACTTGAAGATTCCTTAGGATTCCTTTCACCTATATGCTCCTGCACACACATTGAAGTGCATACATTAGCAGAGACACTTGTCATTTTGAGCCCAGTGGTGCTGTGACGGGGAGCCCGATGCACTTGGCATGTGGATGACTGTCCAAGGCTGTGTGTGTGTGTGTTTGGACACGGGATTTTGTGTGAGCAATCGATAACAGCAGTCAATACGTGTGTTGGCTTGCTGCCGGTTCCACAGCGTGTCGCGTGTCACTGAGGTGAGGAGTTCAGTGGGATGAGCTTGATTGCGTTCAGGGAAGCACATCGTTGGTGTGCCCACAACCCCTGGGCACTCACAGATCTCCATTTCTCCCTGCAGCTCACAGTAAAGCACCCAGTAAAACCTACTGACCAGGCAAGGGAGATGGGGAGAGGCTGGAGCACAAGTCTCCTGAGTAGTGGCTGAGGGACCTGGGGGTGTTTAGCCTGGAGAAAAGGGGGCTGAGGGGAGACCTTATTACTCTACAACTGCCTGAAAGGAGGCTGTAGCCAGGTGGAGGTTGGTCTCCCAACTAGCAAGGGATTGGATAAGAGGAAACAGCCTCCAATTGCACTGGGGGAAGCTTAGGTTGGATATTAGGAAAAAGTTCTTCACTATGAGTGTGGTCAGGCATTGAAACAGGGAAGTGGTTGAGTCAGCTGGAAATGTTCTAAAAACACGTGGATGTTGCACTTAGGCACATGGTGGGCATGGCAGTGCTGGATTGGCAGTTGAACTTCTTCATTTTAGAGGTCTTTTCCAGCTTAAATATTTCTATGGTTCTATTTCCTGTCTGAACCTTGCTGAGAATGTCGTTGCACCGAGCAGACAGCAGCAGCCCCCTCAGTAAAGGATGTAGCCTTCCCTCCTCCCATGCACAGTGTTCAGCTAACTGTTAAAAAGAAGCAAAATAAATGCATGCATAATTTTGTGAATATAAGTATTAGGAAAATGCTGCATTGTAATAGAATTATTAACCAACTGATGTAGATTTTTTTTTATGATGATGAAGTTACTAAAGTTGACTTCTTAAAAGTTAAGTGTCACAAAAGGTGTTTTCAAGGTTAGATAGCTAACAAGAACTGCTTCAAGGAACAGGGAATTTTTTAGAAGCAAGTATATTTTAAAAGAGGATCATTAAACTTCTGAGGTTTTGAGTTCACAGCAAAAGCCTTTACCGTTGTGCTGTTGCAAATAATTCTGCTTTATTTGATGTGCTTTCTGTTACCTTAATTGCAAGTCCCCAAAGCTCTCAAAATCTTCCTTTTGTTTTTTTCCCCTAAGATTAGGTATAAAATGGATTTATTTTGTTATTTCTAAAATAAATATACCAAGATATTCAGTGTCATTTTCTTTCACACAAGCCATTTTTTATCATCTTTTAATTTAATCTATCTGCTTTCTTTTAAATATCATTAGTGTTTTGATGTGGCCATGCAAGTCACAAAGTCAGTATGAAAGTCAGTTCCTGAAGAGTCATTCAGAATCTCTGGGACCTTCTGTGTTTTCGAATATAGTCATTTATAAGATTATACTTAATTTTTTGAAATTGTGAGATTTGTCTCCTCTGAAAAGTTGAGGCATGCCTGTTGCAATTTTTCAGTTGTTTGTGTTCATAAATATAAGTTAATGTGGATCTCCAAACACAAATTAACAAAGAAGTGGAGATGCTGAGTAAAACTAAGAAAATATCAAGTATTTGATATTTGATAAAATATCAAAGATTTTCTTTATCCAAAAAACAACATTGAACGCCATCTATGTGTTCATTAACCCTGTTCTGACTCCATCTTAAAGGACTGCAAAGGTTGTTCTCATTCATGCTGTGCAGTGGTCATTTGAAAATTGCTTTGGGTTAGAAAATTTAACTTTTATCTCAACTTGATCAAATTGCAATCATACAATAATTGATGCTAGAGCACACAACAATTGCTGTATTCAAGTCTTTGTAATTAGAACTAGTTAGAGTGTCTGGAATACCTGTTTGGTCAGCTTTTAGCAATTGATGTAAAGATGGGTAAAGATGGAAGTATTTGTATCAAGTTCACAGTTTTCCACAGACAATTTTCATTAGTCAAAACATCTAGGATAAAAATGTTCATAAAAAGTTTCATCCATATAGAGCCATGTTGCATACTGTTAAAATCCAAATGAGGCGGTGAAAGAATAATGCAGCCTCTTGTTTTGCCTGTTTTCTGTAGCAGCAAAACTAAATAGATGAGTTATATCTCTGTCCAGTCCTCATAGTGTCAGGCTGGCAAAAGAGTTGTAAGCTGGGTGCCTCAAGTCATTCCATCAGAAAAGCTCCTGCTGCTGGAAAGGTGGCTTTTCTGAGCGGCTTCTGTAGAATGGGTCCTTCATCATGAAAACCCTAGGAGAGAACCTGTTTACAATAGCACTGAAATACGCTTCTGCTCACAAAAGTTTTATAAAATATACTTGTTTATGACAACTTATGATCTACTCTGAGTTCTACTTCTCCTGACCTCCATCTCTCAGCACTGCAAAGTGTTTTGAGAGTTGGGGTAAATGGGCAAGTTCTTTTGAGTAGAATGAAAGTAAACTGAACTGCAAAGTTGATCTTAAACCAAAGACGATGATTTCATTACCTGCCACTGCATATTTCAAGAGAGATATCATCATTGGCATAAAATTTTACAGAAAAAGGAATTATTCCTTTGTAGATCACAGTGGAATCCAGACACTGCTGTGCATGAAGGACAAGTTGTCTCAGCACAGGAGCTGATGGTACTCTTGCAACCTCTTCTTACCCAGAACTCCAGAAACCTCGTCTTGTTCCTGCAAGATAGGGTACGTATACCATTTTCTTTCCCCACCAGTACTGGGCACAAGTCTATACCTAAATGAGATGCTATGGCTCCTTCTCACCAACCTACTCTCTTTGTTTTTCAGCTTAGCACAGATGATTTCACATACTTCAGTGAATCCTATGGCAACAAGAATCCATTTCAAAATGTTCAGGCAAGCATTTATCTCTTTTATTTCTTTATGTGCAGTATTTAAACAAAAAAGTAAAAGAAAGATGTAAGAAAGATGCAAAGAGACAATTACTGGCAAAAGGGCACTGAGTTGCAGAAGTTTTCCTATTTAAAATATTGAGATTATTCCAGTTTAAGCAGATGTGTTAGAGGAAATAAACAGAGTTTGCAGATACATGCTTTGTAGCTATTATATTTTTAAAGACTGAGTTTTCACAATTCATCATAACTGACAAAATTATTCTTAAATATGTTGCAATTTTCTATTGTGAAAAACAGTATCAACTTCAAGATCAACAGCCCAAAATTCTGTTTTGGAGTCATAAGAAGAGAAGAACTTATAGGAACCAATTAATTTTTTCTTATTTTCAGAATTTAATACCTATTTTGTTTTTACATAAGTTGAAGCTCATTCAGGGAGTTAACTGTTTTATATTTGTATTAAGTTAATATATCACTAGATGCTATATTGACTTAATCATGAAAAAAGATAATGCTAGTTGATTAACTTGAAATAAACTCTAGGCACAGAATTTAAGATGGAATCCTCCTGAGTCAGTCAACATCTTCAAATTCTGTCCTCACTGAGAAGGTTTATAGATTTTGTGCAGAGCATCTATGGTTGTACTTACATGACAGTTTATTGAAATGTAATTAGACAAAATGTTCACTTGTGGAAGTCATAAAGACATTCCTGGAGGCAGCGCAGGATGAATGTAATATTAGTAATGTAAATGGTAGCACAGCACACGAGGAAGTGTAAATTCCCAAGCACCACACAGCAAGCACTATATGTAATTAAATAGATAAATATTCACATAATACCTGTCTCTACATCTGTACTAAGAGCCTGACATCTTCCTTGTATGACTGGAACTGGAGATATTAATCTCTTTGTCATATAACTGCATTTTAACATTGATGCTAGAAAAGAAACAATTATTCAGTGTATCTACATGGGTTTTCTGAGGAATGAATGGGAGTCATAATCATCTGTACTGCAAGGATCAGTGGTTGTGTCTGCAGGCAGAAGCACTGGCTTTTCTCTGCTATGCCTTATCTTCTCAGGGTTTAACATCTCTGCAAGGCAGTGTCTGGAGCAAATTTTTATTGCTGCCTGACTACAAAACTGGTTTAATTTAAGCTGTTTGACATGCATTGCAATGCATGACATTGCAAGTTCGTAATAATGTGGTGGTCTTATTCAAGTAGGCCCTCGGTGTTTAAGAGGCATATTAAAGTAATTAAGACATTCTTCTTTTGCCTTGTAATCAGGACTCCATCAGCACTGCAGATAGAGATTAAAGGCTTTAAGGTCTAGAGATAAGGCCAGAGACTGACAGGTTTAGAAATCAGGTGGTATACCAGGGGACTGGGGACCTAGTGAGGGCTGGTGAGGAGGTCCTCAGCTAAACAAAAGGCCATGTTTAAATAAATCTTTGTCTGTGTCTGGCAGACCAAAGGTTTATACCCAAGTTTTTAACAATCTGAATAAATGTCAGCAACTGTTTCTTTCCTGACCTTGCCTCTGTTCCCTCTCTGTCTTGGAGATGAGAATTTTTTCTGTATTATGGCTTCTGTAAAACTGGAAAGTTTATTTTTACAGATTCCTCACCTTAACTCCAGCACTTCCTACATTTTTTCTGTTGGATTTGGCAATCTTTAATGCTTTTCTAGTGTTGTTTGATGGAAGTGAGGTGCTGTAATGTGAGTGAAAGAAAATGAGATGTATAAACTATATACTTCTTTTTCACCTAGGTGCCCATAGAGAGAGTTTTGTCAATATCTATTGCATAGGTTTTAGTTCTTAGGGCCAGAAAAGGAACTTTATAGTCATCCATATAGGGAGTAACAGAGTCTGCAAAAATCTGCTCGATTGCTATTATATTACTTGAACTCCACTTGAGATACTTTGGGTAAGAAATCAATTCTTAATCATTCTATGAAAGATTGCAATAACATTCACACAACACAGGACAAAGTGAAGGTTGGGTCTGAATTTTCTCACTGGGGAAATTATAATCCCTGATGTTGCATAATCACAAGTTTTTTACCTACACAGTCTATATCATACAAGTTATCAGTGAAGCTATAATAAATGTTCCATTGCTCTCAAGCATCCTCCTTAATGAACTTCAGAAATGCAAACTTATTCATAAACCTAAACTGGAGATTTCATTTAGAATGTATAAGTGCATGTAACAGCATGTGTACCACAAGAAGAAAGTGTTATTTGAGAAATGGTTATAGGTTTGTAAACCCCAGAAACATTTGCAGATATTCTATTTGTTTAGCTGCATTAGCAGCAGTTCTGAACTTTTGGTATCGATGGGTTTGCATGCAATAAAAGAATCTTATTCCAGTTAATATGAAGGGAATCTTAAAGGTAGATCATTTATCTTGAACTTTCAAACAACTTCTAAATTAAATAATAAAATACAAAGATTAGCATTTGGGGAACTTTGTCAAGCACCCTACAAACTATTTTTCTTTAATATTAGCTTTGGCTTTCCCCAGATAGCGCTCAGGTCCTTAGAACTGCAGTGTATATTAACACACTCCAATTAGTGACCAGCTGTGCAGCTACATAATTATGACTGTAACTCATTGCCACTTGTAGTCTGAATACTCCATGCTATCCTCACTCAGTGGTCATAGACTGAGCAGTACTATTTAGTTATGTGTGATACAGAGGCTTTAAAATAGTTTTGATTGTCTTTATTTCCTTTCTTTTAGTTTTATTATATTATTTTTTGACAAGGGAACATGCACAGAACTGCATAATAATCAAGCTAAAAGTTCATAATAGATTTATTCCATGACATAATGAGGTTTTGTTCTCTAGCCTTTTTTAAAATACTATTAATATTTGATTTTTTCAGTCCTGATCATTATCAGCCTCTGAATTATCATTTTCAAAGAGCTGTTGTAACTCTCAAGGTTTCATTACTGAAGGGTGACACTCAGTTCTGAGTCTATTACCTATTACTGTGTATTCAAAATTAGGTTTGTTTTTCTGTCACCTTCTACTGTGCTAAAATCAATTTACATTGAATCTCATCAGTCACTCAGTTGCCCAAGAGGTTGCACCAGAAGTTGCTTCTGTAGTTCATCAGTCAGACACTTCCTTTACTAACCTGAAAAACAATATAATGAGCAAGTTTCGTTAGCTCAATATTTACCTTTTTATCACAATTTTTTTTTTGTGAAAGCCACATCAATCTTTTCCCCAGCACAGCCATTTAATGTTGTTATAATCTGTATTTTATGCTTTGGAATGCTTTCTCCCATTTTTGGACTTCAAGTTTTCTTCTTGACAGTCCCTTGTCTGTAACCCTCAGGAAAAAAAAAGGTGTCATGTTTCCCTCTATACAGTAAAGCATGGAGATTTTTCCAATAATAGTTCCTGTAGCTGCAACACACTTTATCAGGGAAAGTACATCAGATCAATTTTCATTGAAAGTCTAACTTACAGCTTTATGCATACATTTGAAGGGCACAGCTACAGTGTAAAAGTTTGTGGGATAGATAATTGGAAAGTTAAAATTAAACTTTCTCCTTCTTTTCCCCTTCTTCTCTCTCCTTGTCCCTCTATTGTTCCTAGCTACTATGTGGTTTTCTTTAGCAGAATGCAAAACCACGTGTTTCTCAATATCCTCTTCATTCTCCACCCCCTTTTGGAGTTTTCATGTTTTGAACAAGCATGGTAGCTGAAATCTTATAATGTGTAAAGCAACATATGGGTATTGTAAAGAAAAGTGCACAATTGCCAAATGGCAAGAAAGACAAAGAGGCTTGGGATCAGACTGGCTGCCTGAGGCTGTTGAGTTGATATCCAGCTGTGTCTACCCTTCAGATGAAAAGCAGCTGAATACCTGTGGCTGGAAGCTGGGACAGGTGGCAGTGCAGCATTGGTTAGGAACAGAAGCACAATTAAGACACTACTCAGTAATGATACATTTTATATCTTATTTGGCATTAAATAAGTACTCTGCTTAATAAATATCTTTGGATGAAATGGCTGTTGCTATTCTGGCTGCTGCTGTGGGACAAGGGATTAAAATATTGGAAATAAAACAAAAATATTGAATTGCTCAGACTTTGAGGTCTAAATTCAAATCTGTAAACAAATCAAAATTAAATGTTTTATCTATTTCTTCCAGGAGGAAGAAAAACACTACTCAAAACACTACTCAAAACACTACTAAAAACACTACTCAAAGACCTGTACACAACATCAGTGTTTTCTGTCCTATTTTAATTTCTGCAGTTGCTTTTCTATCAGTCTGGTAAATCAGACAATGCTGCATAATCCTCCCATATGAGCATGTGTAGAAATGTGAAAATACCTATAGTATTTGCCTAGGAAGGAAGATGTGAGCAATTAGAAAGAACAAGAGCAGGCCAGAAAAGGGGTAAGCAGTCAAAGAACAGACAAAAAGGAAAAAAATTAACAGTAGGAGAAAAGTGTTAGGAACACCACACTGCTTGCACCAGAGGAAAAGAGTCTGTAACAGCCTGAATATCTGAATGTTGAGTCAAATGACAGACTTAATCTAGATTTAAATGTAGAAATACAAAAGCAAAGTTAACAAGGTGTAAACTAGGACTCAAAGAAAAAATATCTTCTAATACTCATATTTGCATTGGGTTTCTTGGCAAGACTTTGCTAGTGGGCATGCTACCCTGGTGGCTTTTTTGACAAGCTGCCAGAAGCTTCCCTCATGTCCAAAAGTGCCAATGCCCAGAAGCTTCCCTCATGTCCAAAAGTGCCAATGCTCCAAGAGGCACCTGCCACTGGCCGGGGCTGAGCCCATCAGAGACACGGTAACATATTTAAAAAGGTGAAGAAGTTACTGCACAGACAGTAACTAATGGGGAGAGGAGAGGGAGAGGAGAGGGAGAGGAGACTGAAATGTATGAGAAACCAGCACCAAGGTCAGCACTGAGGGAGTGGGCAGAGGTGTTCCAGGCACCAGAGCAGAGATTCACCTGCAGCCTGTGGTGCAGCC